AACGCAGGGCACCGTTATAACAGTAGATGGCAAGGTTGGTTTTTAAATGAACCATCGATTCGGTTAAGCGCGTTCAGCACTTCGTCATTTATTACCTCTCACAACTTTTCTTCGCTGCAAAACGTTATAAGGAAACTTCATCGTCCCAAGAAACTTTTAACTATCACTTCATCGAAGACATTTTCAAAGCTCTATCTCGTATGGACTGTTACAATGCGGAAGCAATTCAAAGATGCTTTGACAGAAAGTTGACCAATGGCGAATATAAGTCAGTTAGGCGGTTTATGTACTGCCACGCAAGTAGCTCAGTCTTTGTTTGAGTAAAGTATGGGAAAGAGGTGGTGGTTAAGTCGGAAGCACTTGCCAGTTCCGCCTCCTTGGCCCCTTGGTTTGATTTCCAGAAATTGTGTACTTGCTGATTCTGAAGTCCACAAGGCGTAAACATGCTTCTGAGAGCCTCGATAAATCATTCCAATTATTCAGGATGCCTTTCTTTGAACGTTTGCTCGGTCCCACTATAAAACGTGGGAATTGCTGGACGTTGATCCTTGTCCCAGGCCAGTTTTCAAAATTTTATGAGACTCACAAAAAGCTACTGGGTAATTGCATGGGAGCATCTTGCTTACCATCATGACAGCCTGGAGCAGGAAGCACGTCCTTGGTATGAACAGATTTCCAGTTTATTTAATTGGTAAAGGGTGTCCTAAAACTACTTGCACCTTTTAAAAGTTAGAGAATTTCTATAAAGTTAAATATTCATAAATAAGTTTTATGTATTCGTCAATCGTGTTGATATGTTATTTATTTTTAGTCAAGCTTTGTACGCAATATTTACTATACAATAAAGCAGTATAGATATAAAAGAAAAATCTCAACCCGTAAAAAGCCGTGTCTGAGATCTCGATGATGCAAAGTTCAGGGGATATAGGTCGAGCTATAGGTGTGATAGAAGCCGGAATGCAGCGAGTGGAGGTTGCTAAAGCTGTAGCTGTATATATCAGGACGGTCAAGTATTAGGGGTCACAGTACAGGCGGACAGGTACCCTTACACAGCAGAATTCTGGAAGACCAAATATTTTAGGGAGAATTTAAAAGATTTTTCTTGCAAAATCCACTGGTAAACCAAGGCAAAGTAAAGGAAAGTCGTAAAGAAACTGAATGCTAACGGCGTGAAAGGTTCTAAGTCCACTGTGCACCGGTATTTGCACGAAAGTTTGGGAGTTAGCGTCTAGCACAGATGGAAAATCACTTGACTAACAAAAAACAAATCAAAGATAGGATGACCTTCTGCAAAATGGTCAGGAGGTGTACTGTAGACGACTGGACACAGGTCGTCTTTTCCGATGAATCACCCTATGAACTGTTCCCTCCATCAAACACAAAAAATGACGTTACTAAGGCTCCACGTCGCAACATGGTTGGGAATGTTGAAGTTCCAAAATTTAGCCCCACAGTCATGGTATGTTTGGTGATGTCCTTTACAGGGCTCTCTGACCTCCTTAATGTGAACAAGTGAATAGTAAATATTATAGAGGGGAGGTCCTAAACACAAACTGTTTGAAAAGTTAGGAAAAAATCCTATGAGCAGGTCACAATTTGAGCATAAACTTGTTCCAGGCATGTCAAATATGATTTTTATGCAAGATGGAGCCACAGCTCATACAACTCAGGAGACTCAGAGGTTGCTGTCGGATAAAATTCCACATTTCTGGCGAAAAGACATGTGGCTATCAAATAGTCCTGACTTGAATCTAATTGTAAATCTAAAGTTAATTTTTGGTAATACGGTTGATGAGAAACTGCCTGCTCCTACGACTGTTACTAGATTGTAGAGGTCCCTGCTGGACGCCTGGAAAAAGATCCCCTTGGAACTCCTCCCGAATCTCACTCATTCAATGCCGAGCAGTGTAGAAGCTGTCCTAAAGCGCAAAGAAAAATTTCCTGTCGAATAATTTGTGAAATTGTTTGAGTTAAAGATGTTTTCAAAATTGGGTCAGTTGAATTATTCAAATCTACCAAACTCCTCCTAATAAAAATATATATTACTTTAGAAAATGTGAGTGCGTTATTGGGGTGAAAACGATTTCAGTACACCCCTTTTGTTATAACCAAATCATTTGGAATTTATCTTAGTAGGCTAACCCGCAACTGAAGTTTTAGTTCAGCCGGTAAACTAGAGTTGATATCTGCATGATGAATTCAGGCTTTTTTGGAAGACTACAGAATGAATTGTTTTCGTGTACTGTCTCGACTGCTTTGGGGAGTTTTAGTGTAGGTATAAAATCTACAAAATGACGGACTAACAAACAATTTTCGCGCAGATACCTTATCATATTTTATTTTTAGGTGAACGAGGGTCATATGAAACAAACCACTAAGTCTCTTTCTTACGTTTACTTTCTATAAAAGTATAAATTACCACGTCTACTCCTTAAAATTTGGACAAAAGAGCAGAATCGCTTTAACGCTGCCTTCGGGACTGGTCTAAGGACCAAAGTGACAAACTTTTTAAAAGCACCTATAAGATACTGGGATCCCAGTTTAACTTAAAAATGTCATGTTTGCCAGAAATGAGGCTGTAATGGATAAACAAACGATGATACCAGGCCACAGAATCCAAACTGCTTCCTTCCTAGCTAGTTTTCCTGGAATGATTGAATCGGTAGGAAGTCGGAGCATGTTAACGTTATTGTCTTACGTTTATACGCAAAAAGATGGTTCTGTTTATCAATAAGTAGGCTAACCAAATCACGAGCAACTTCTGTTGATTTCTTTGTTTACCATTTTGTCCTAATAGATGCCCTATCGACGAAAGATCAACAGCTGCTCCAGCGTTTCTAGGATTAATTTTTAAGAAGTCAAAGAATGGAATATCGCAGGAGGCGCACTTTTCACGCCAGGAAAAATAAACTTCTGTCTTGAGTATTATTGCTCGACAAGACTATCTTACTCCGTCTTATCCTGTAATTTCTTGATCCCCTTGAAGGTCCACCAGGTCCGATTCCGAAGGCCTCTCGTATGTGGTTGCCGCGACCTGCCGATCTACAGATCGCGTTCTACATTGGCCTTTCGGAGAACATTGAGGAACTACCGAAAGGGCAGAACTGTCCCCTCATATTCGACAAGGTGATGCTGAATATGGGCAATTTTTACAACGCCACAGATGGTGTCTTTACCGCACCCGTAGACGGAGTGTATACGTTTATGCTGGTCGTATCTGCGCACAGCTATAAAAAGGTGAGATTTTAGGGTGCATTTCATAAAGTTACGCGGTGACAGACCAATCATTTCTACGCTGGTCGCCTTCACCAGTGTGATTATCTGAAGTGTACTGGCTGGCTGATAATACCTTCGGTTAAAGTTGAAGAAAGAAAAAGAGTCGGTCGCCAGGAAGAATAGTCACCTCAGGGTGCTAGTCGGTTGTCGAATTCGTTTACCGATATATAGAGATAATTAATAAGCTAAACCCTGAAATTGATATCTGGTTCAGCAACCTGGTCTTGTGCTACCACAGTTTTATGCCATGGCAGTCATCCGCAGTGGGTTCATTTTCGGGCCACAGGCTTGGTTTACACTGCATACGCTTTTTATGCTGACTTCTTGCAGCTCAATAATGCTTGCTCCAAGAATCTTTCCCAGACCTGTAAAGGTGACTTATTATTAACAAGGATGGTCTCTCTATACTCCACTTTGGCAAACTAATATACGGGAATAGGAATCTACCCCCCCCCATTCGAGGGCTTTGTGCTAATTTTCAGAGCGACTAGGGTTAGTGTCAGGTTTAAGGATAAGTTTTGTTTTTGGTCAGGGTTAAGTTTGTGGATAGGGCTGAATTTAAGATACGAGTAAAGGATTGGGTTAGGGCTAAGGCAATAATGCAGGCATGTTTACCTTTTCTGGACTTTTGCACCGTACCACCTGTTGTGCCGGGGAAGGGGCGAGGAGCGTTCCTGTTTCCATTTTCTACCGTTTCGGGTTATTTCAGGTGGCTACTCAAACCTTACTTAGTGGCAAGTAACCATCTTCATGACGTAAATTCTCTATGGCCCGCAATCGTCTCTCCGGAAACGGTTCGCAGGGCGGTTGCCCATGCACGCCCAATGTTTTGAGTGCTGTATTTTCCCAACAGTTTATTCGAGAGGCCAGAAAGTCTTTCTACTCCTCGGTGGGTTTTTTTCGAAGGACGCTTGATTTATCCGTCACCAGTGGAAGTACCGACTAGTCCAAATATGGGCTAATGGGCAGGACCCATTTTTCCGGGATTATGGGAATGCAGACGATCTCGGTAGAATCCTGCTTTATCGAAACGAACCCCACAGCTCCAGATACCACCTGGGTGTAGACGCTATTCTGCTGGCTGCAGCTTTTTTCACTAAAATGAATTGTGGTTTATAAGTTATTAGCCCGAGCCCTAGTAACGGCGTACAGCCCCCCCCCAATTCGAGACTTAAGTGGGGAGGTGAAAAAAACTTACGGCCGAGGTTACTACAAAAATACAGAATAAGGAGGAATTTCAAAATCGTCTGGTTCAACCGCCTGTAATTTGCGATCATGATTTGAGGAATACAGTACGGAGAAAATAATTTGGAGGAATGCTTGCTGAGTGGCGGAACACGAATGCTTGTTCATGATTAATTACTTGTATTTTGATTCCGTTAGTGCGGATGTATCTCTTCTCTGGTTTGTATAAAATTAATTTTTCAGTTTTCTCGGAAGCATAACTGTAGGTTGGCGTTGCACTAGAGCTCTGGGATTGGTAGCTGATCAAATTAGCCCTCGGTTTAAGCGTGGGTTAATCGAAAATTTAACTTTATGGACATCTGTGTGGAAAACAATTAACTTAAAAGAGCTACTCGCCGTAGATTCTTACATTTTTTAATAATTTGCTGTGGAATAATTTAGCCAAGGTCGGTGTCCTTCAGTATCTTAATGTTCCCTCAAGATGTTATCTGATATCCACCATATTGTTTTTATATCATTAACATTCCTCAAATGAATCATTGTTCTTGCATTCATGAGAGATTGCCATTAGAAATTCATACTTGTAACTGCAGTACGGCGGAGAATTCATTCAAAAATGATGACGAAATTGAATTTGGTAATTTAGCTTAAGAACTTATGTCCAAATGCTTTTAAAAAATACCTTATTTTAAATGTTTTAATATAAACGTCGAACAAAATCTGGATTTGTGAACGAAAGCTTGAAAATACTGGGAACGTTCGAAAAATATACCGGAATTTAAAGGACGATCTTAAACTAACTGCAATCCAATAAGGCAAATATGTGTAAAAATGTTGGCTAAAGAAAAGGTTTTTTACATAAAGAAAGAGTTTTAGATATCCGTTCAACTGATGACAAAATTTTAATATATTGGTTTAATTTATAGCTTTTTTAATGTCTGTAGAACTGAAGTATTATTAGGAATGTTTCATTTAGGTAAAAAAATCACCGAAGGTTGTTCATTATTACTCCTAAGACTTCCTACATGTGTTAGTGCCGGTTGTGAGTGATTATCGGTATTTTGCTAACTTCGGTATTTTGCATGACACCCACGCCGTACTGTATATTTTGGAATTGTCCATATGCCGAGAACCAGTCAATAGACTGGATGCATAATGTGACGTGTCTCTTCTGACGAAGTGGATGTTACGCAAGGACTAGTTAGGCACCAACGATTTACAATGCAAAATTTCATTATCTGCTTAATTATCTGAGTTATTTTCGTGTTTTCGATCATAGTTATACGGGCTAAGGTCTTTCTACTGCGAAATTACTTGACCAATATATAAACAGATGAAGCATACTTAGTACGGTTGCTAGTTTAAGGTGGATCAAACCTTTGAACATGCAAGTTAATGTGAAACCGAAAAACGCAGTGATGAAGAGCTGTGTTTCTTGTTTTCCTTTCGTGGATTGGTGGCCTACGCTCGGCGCTAGAACAGTCTGGGATCTGAATGCTTTAAATTAACCTGTTGATTTATAGACTCGCGCAACTCATTGGACGCTAATCTCCTGAGTTTGTATTTCTCAAGACAACTAACGTCAGTCTCAGTTTTGGCGCCATGTCAGAAATTATTTGGGTCTACACCGGGAATTTTTTGAGTGGGATAATAAATGTTCCTTACGCAAGTCTTTATGGGAGAGGAAGGCTTCTATAGTATCGTCTAAAAGGAGTGGCCAGCCCTCCCAACAAGGAAATTGAAAAAGATCGAAGTAAATTACTTAGCTTCCTACATCGAAACAAGCATTTATTGTGGACTTTAAAGCTGCTCTCGAAATCATCGCCGGTATTTACCTGCTAAAGGAACGGTATGCTTTGGATTTTCAAGAATACACGTTGATGCCAGCTCCCTCGAAAGAGGGAGTAAGGACTTCCACTATCTGCTGTAAAATGTGTGCCGCTTTTGCAAATAAACCGGAGCCAACTGCATACAGCAACTAGATTACAGCGCAATAGCTTTGCGTAAAATTTAGTGTTGATGCACGTGATGAAAAGGCGAAATGTACACACGTAGATAAGGCAAACTCTGTGAAGAATGTGAGACGTGGACCCTTCTGAATGGTATCGAGTATTTTAGCCATCCATGTTAGCTTGATATTCGCTTTGCGTTGTAGGAGTATTTGATATATAGAATGACAGAGAAACACCCACCGATCAAGGTAGGCGACACGCGTCCTGTTGTGTCTTGGGGCTGTCTCTCGTGTTCTGCCAGCAGCCACAAATTCTGTCGTGTTTAATATACCTAATCAAAAACCGACAGGAGAACGTGATTTAGTAGTTAGTGCGTTGGACAGCATTAACATTTGCATGCAATAGAAAGTAATTTGTAATTTACTGTATACTTTTAATCTGCGAATACATCGGGTACCTAAACGCCATCTTGAGGAAACGGAGTAGAATTATTTAATTAGTGAGTGGAGGAACAGTCAATATAACAAATAAAGAACGCTTCAGAGAAAACATCTGCGCGAAAAGTTGCTGGGAAGTCCACGTTTATATGATAAACAGTAAACGAGTCTGTCATTGAAATTATATCCATCCGGTATCACCAGATCCGAGGAACACAAGAACTGGTGTGCGACCGGAACTGGTTTCGTCTATGATGCTTTTACTAAAAGAATCAAGTGGTCCTGATTTCCAGGCCTGATTAATTCTTTTTTCAATCTGCTCCCAACAGGCTAGTGCGTGGCTGATGCACAACGGCCAAAAAGTTCTTTTCGCCTGGTGCGAGAGTAAGCCCTGGGCAAGCACCACCAATCAGGCCATCCTGTTCGTCAAGAAGGGTGACAAGCTGTGGCTGCAGTGCAGTGAAGAGGCCTTCCATCTCTACGGCTACATGTACAGCAGCCTTTCCGGTTTTCTGCTCTTCCCCTTGTAGTTGACACTCCAAAGGGTGCAACTCTACACTGACCCAATGGACAGACATTCTCAACATTACACAAAACGTCTTCTTCCTTTTGATCATTTGCTTTGTGTGTAAACGAGACACGGGACTTTGTTTACCCTATTCAGGGTAGCAGGTTCTGGATTACCTTCCCCGCCATCGACTTTTCACCTAAATCCCCCCCTACTTACGTGTCATGGCCCTCGGCGAGGCGATTACCGTTCCATTGTAAATTATTTTTTTCTTCACACAAGGTAGTCATTCCAAGCTTGTTATTTCGAACAGTAAAGCACCATCGATGGGAGAGAGAGATCCAGTAGTATGCTGTGCCTCACCGCTTCGTTTCTCGGAAGAATGCCGAATTGACAATAAAAGTTGTTTAAAGGAAAGGCAGTTCCCACGGCAAAATCCAAATTCTCTGATAAACTCTTGAAACCTACAGCCCCGAAGATGCATAGTATAGCATACAAATTGGAGGTGGCGCGTAGCTTGACAGTAAGTTTCTTAAACGATTTCGAAGCTTCCAAACTGCAACACTGTATAACGAGACAAAAATAAACACGTTAACGTAACCAGGACCTGGTGCACAAAGATAAAATGCAGTAGAGATGAAAAGAGTAAAAGCCACATCAAAATTCTGATAATGCTCATAATCTGTGTGAACGCATTTTCACGTTATCAGTCAAAATGTACATATGTTGCTTGAATGCACTACCTTGGATCGGAGTCTGTACAAAATAGGGCAAAATCACAGCTCAAGCAGGGGATGGGGGAACGTATGCACGTCATGCGATTGCGATTTCATCTCAGAGGTCGTCGCGACCACGCGACTGCATTCGGGGAGTATATATTCGGTCGGCTGGCGCATAGGAGACGCGTGCCAAACTGGTTCCCTCGCCAGTTGCATGACCGGCGCCCTCCACCACCAGACCTCACTTTTAAGAAACTGGAGACGGTACCTAGAAAAAACTGCTCTGGTCTACCAGTGTATGAGCTGCATCTTGTGGGATGATAAAAAAAAGTGTTGAATAGAATCTTTACTTAGAATGCTGAGCCTGAGTCGCACTTTCGGTAAAAGTAAACGTTCTTTTGTAGTTCACAATCGTCCTTTACGGGATTCGCCAAAGGCATACACAGTTTTATCTGCAATTTTAGGAAGCAGGTCACGCAGGCAAGCATATCCATAGTCACGACCTAAAAATTACGCCTTTATTTGTGTGAGATTGGAGTAAGGCCTGCACAACGAGAAGGGTTAGGTCATACTTCTTTCCGAAACAGTCCCGAAACGGCTGTTTGAATCAGAAGTGTGCGAATTACTATGAAAACATATTTTCTAGACTTTGAGGTAAAACATCTTTTTCGTAGTGGGTTGTAGGAAATGAAACATATTTAGTTAAATATGGCTTTATTTGCTGACAAGCGCAGTCGAAAGCTCCGTGTCATTATTTCTACCAAAACCAATGCTTCATACACCTTATATCTTCCTATTTCCGCCCATTATCGACATAAGTGAACGTGGTATCAACACACCTTTGCAACATCAGCCACGTTTACGCGGGTCACCCATTTTAAAGCCTTTGTAGTTTCTGAAGATTAGACATCATACCACCTTAATGTTCCTGTGAAATTGTAAAATAGAAGTCTGACTGCTATCTACTAATTGAAGTTTACTACACTATTCTGTAGCATGAATGATCCCACATAACTTGGCTTAAATATACTATGAATCTCCCCGGAGGAAAACTGGAACCCTTTAGAAGTTGAATCCTGCCTCCAATTGGACAATGATGAAAAAATGAAAGCCTGAGGCCTTCAAATGTCAGAAGTTAGGAAGTTCTTCCTTCACAGTTTATCTGCACTAGAAAATGAAATGCGCGGCAACTATTTGTTGACACACCGGCTGAAAGTGTAGATACGACTAAAAAATCCCGCTGCTACTTAGCCGACCTGAATCCGCGTCCACCAGCCGAACTGCAATCTTCATCCGAGACCTAAATCTCAGTGTAACAACCTCTCATAATTAGGTCTTCGGGAGAATTTGGAACAGGGATTTTGGCTGTCGCTGGAAACAAAGACCGCTGGTGTTTGTATCGATTTTGCCGCAGGCTACAGGAGTTAGGTTCATTTTGCAATTGCATAGTCTCGTCAACCTAACTTGCCTTCCTCTTTGAGAAAAAACAACGAATTAGTGCTGTTAACTATTACTAATTTCGATTTGCTACATACTAAAATAGATTTGCTGTCCCATTAAATGTTAACCGACATTCTAAAATGTGCGCAGTCTGAAAAAAATATTTCAGTAGGGTTATCATATTAATTGTCATGCAGCATAGTTCCAAGATATTTCAGTCAGGTGAGAACACTCTTTTGGAAGACTTTTTTCGGCTGCCGGGAGAAGTTGGACTCGTAAGTAGTTAGCATTGTCCAAATGACTTCAGATACCCTTGTAAGTTGAACATATCCTTTTTTCTACTCCTTTTGTAGAAATTGCGTTTTCACGTTATAGTAGTAGTATTCCGGCAAAGACAGACAACCCTAGAATAGTTATTTCTGGCTTATTGGCCGTCTTCTCCTAATTTTGTATCCAAGAAAAGCGTCCCCATACAATTTGAAGAATTTTCCATATATGCCATTTTCTAAGCCCATGAAATATCGATTCATAAAGAATTGTATCTTTCCATTGATTACTGTCGTTTATAAAGCATATAATAGGTTTCATATCTATTAAAAAGGTGACGAGCATTTTCTGACCTCTTTCTCATAGGGTAGCGAAATGTGTGATTTTCTTTATACAGAATTTATGCCGCATGCAGTTCGGGAGCCCTAAACGTATAGTACGCGCCAGAATTCGTGCAACATGCTGACATATGCGAAAGATTGATACT